ATATGTACCTCTGAGATGTAGTACAGTATAAAGTACTATATGTACCTCTGAGATGTAGTACAGTATAAAGTACTATATGTACCTCTGAGATGTAGTGGAGGAGCAGGAAGTAGCAGAACATGGAGATACTAATAGATACTACTACTTTAGGACAGTACTTGTGTACTGAATGTACTTGGTTCCTCTCAGAATCAGATGAAGAGTACAGTGATGATGATGATATGAGCTGGAAGGTGCGGCGCTCCTCCATCAAGTGTCTGGAGACGCTGATCAACACTCGCCGTGACCTCCTCCTCTCCTTCTACTCCTCCATCTGTCCGGCTCTGCTCGCTCAGTTCAAGGAGCGCGAGGAGAACGTGAGGGCCGACGTCTTCGCCGCCTTTTCGGCGCTGCTGAGACAAACGCGGGCGGGATCGAGTCGCCGGGGCCTCATGGCGTCCTCGGAGTCAACGGTGAGCAGAGAGGAAGACGAGGAGGAGGAGCCAGGAGTCGTCATGCTGAAGAAACAGGTACAGGAGGGTTTTCACTACAAGTACAGGTGAAGTATATATATATATATACTGTATATAAAGTCAAAGATAAGTACAATAGAAACGTGTGTGTGTGTGTGTGTGTGTGTGTGTGTGTGTGTGTGTGTGTGTCCAGGTACCTGTGATAGTGAAGGCTCTCCACAGACAGCTGAAGGAGAAGAGCATCAAATCCCGACAGGGCTGCTTCAGCCTGCTCACTGAGCTGAGTCACACTGTTCCTGGAGCTCTGGAGACACACATACCTGCTCTGATACCTGGTACACACACACACACACACACACACACACAGAGTTGCTGCATTTTCTCGTCACTCTTCTCTTATTTTTATCTCCTCCCTCCCTTCTTCCTTGTCCCTGCTACCTCTCTCCTCCCACCTCCCTCCTTCCTTCCTCCTCTCTCCTCTCTCCTACCCCCCCTCCATCCCTCCCTCCCTCCTCTCTCCTCCTCCCTCCTCCCTCTCTCCTCCTTCCTCCCTCCCCCAGGCATCGTCTTCTCCCTGACAGACCGGTCCACCTCCTCCACCATGAGGATCGATGCTCTCTCCTTCTTCCATGTGCTCCTCCTCTCTCACCCTCCTCAAGCCTTTCAGTCACACATGCAGGTTCTTTAAGGCTTCATGTGAATAGAAGTAAACAGCCGTATCGCTTCCTACGCTCTCCGCCTGCCACTGGTCTCACTGACGGCTCACTATTCATCACAGCCGTCTGTTTTATACCTCTCTACCTGTCTATCTACCTGTCTGTCTACCTGTCTGTCTACCTGTCTGTCTACCTGTCTGTCTGTCTACCTGTCTGTCTACCTGTCTGTCTACCCACCTGTCTGTCTACCCACCTGTCTGTCTACCCACCTGTCTGTCTACCTGTCTGTCTACCTACCTGTCTGTCTACCTGTCTGTCTACCTGTCTGTCTACCTACCTGTCTGTCTACCCACCTGTCTGTCTACCCACCTGTCTGTCTACCTGTCTGTCTACCTACCTGTCTGTCTACCTGTCTGTCTACCTGTCTGTCTACCCACCTGTCTGTCTACCTGTCTGTCTACCCACCTGTCTACCTACCTGTCTGTCTACCTGTCTGTCTACCTACCTGTCTGTCTACCTGTCTGTCTACCTGTCTA